CACCTTCGCAATAGGTTGAAGGAAGAAGCACAACAGAACATACACACACACACTCGACAAAGTCGTGAGACACACTACTGGCTCGGCTCTTCGCGAGTCGCCACCTGGCAAAGGCAACGCGCGCACGCAGTCGCGCAAGAGACCCCGCCAAATTTAAATCGCATACCAAAATTTTAATAATTCTTATAAATGCACAAAGCACCGATAAATTCCTGGGAGCAAGACTCCATCGAAGATTCGCTTCTGTACGATTCATGGGGGCAATGGTGCGACGATTGTGATTAATTAAATAATTTTTCAAACGCGTCAGCAAACGAGACAAAGAGGGCTGCGTAATTTTCACTGATACCCATTGTGTGAGAGGAGTCTTTATTTGGATGGCGTCATCCTGCATCGGGATCTACGTTTGCTTCGAGGGACCATCGAGATTATCAATTTCCGAAGCAGGACTGAGTGACGCAATGGGTCGTCGTAGGGCCTATAAGAACCTGGCTGAAGGGTTCGAGGGAACACACTTTCGACAATCCACCGTCTGCATCGCGCATCTCAGAAGATTCAACATACTTGTACCACAAGAAAATAGCAAGAGAATAAAATATAATCAAAGTTTAAAGTTAAATCTCTATAAACCCAATCTTTTACCAGAATTGTTTGATACCTATCAAGCAAAACGCATCTTAATTAAAATCCCCTACAATAATGTGGGAAGAGGGGTTAATAATATTCAACAAGAGCTTCTACTCTTAGCTATATTTTAAATTCCTTAATGATATATAAGAAAATGACAGATGGATCCTTATGAGACGATCGAGAGCGAGTAGCATCGACAGAGGAAGAACTCCACGCGTGTGAAATCGTCGAATGCAGTTCGAAAAAGACCCTCGACAGAACAAAGGATCAGTGTGTAAAATATAAACGTTCTAATATCAGAAGCCTGCTTTAGTTTTCAAGAAAAACTGTGTTCCTTCGATTTCCCGAATCACATCTCCCACAGGTATAATATAAATGGGTGTTCTAGGTTCCCTGTGATACGTGCAGCATAATAGACTGTGAAAAAGTATACCTTCGAACCGTTCAGCAAAGTTCCCATAAGCTCTACGACACTAGTTTATTGTGTCAATCAACCTAACTTTGAGGAACCATCGAGATTATCAATTTTCGTCGAAGCAAAATAGATCCCGATGCAACGTCATCAAAAATAAAGGTTCCCTTCACAATAGTCGCGATGGCACCTGTTCCCAGCGATACACGCGAGCCAAGCCTCGCGACGAGGCTAAACTTTTAAATTGCACTGCACAAAGGAGTGCATAATAAGGCGAGGGGAGAAGGGGAGAGGGAGAAATTCATCGTCGACGAACGAGAAGCTCGGAAAATGGGGCGTTAAGTTCATTAAATTACAAAGGGTGAGGCGGTGGGAAGGCGCGAACAGCTGGAACGATGCGATTGTGATTGAAGTTCTTCGGGCTATTAGAAGAAGAAATAAATAAACGAACGAATAAATAAGCCGAGGAGGAACGAGCGCGCGAAGAAGGTCGAGGTGTATACACGACGGCTCCAGAAACGCGAGTTATATAAAGAGATGAGAGTTTTTCTCCATCGACGTTCTCCCTTTCATTCCGCGGATAAAATGGGAGAGAAACCGGACAGACGTCGTAACGCGGTTTAAATTGTTATCGTGCGCCGCGATTTCAGTCCTGTTTGATTTCTTCCTCGAACTTTTATGTATTTTTCTCGTCCGACTGCTTCTCAGGTACTTTCGCCTTGTTTTGCGTTCAAATGGGAAACTGAAGATCGTTACGCGATACGAAATGCACGTTTATCGGTTGTATACGCGTTTCTTAAGTAAATACGTAATGTGGAATTGTTCCTGGTCTGTGTTTATGGTGGAAAAAGGTTACGCGATATTTGATACGTATCTTGATTGGTAGACCGATGTACATACGTCATTTATGGAAATGGTTAAAATCGATAATTAGAATTGAGAGATTTGTATATATGCAGATAAACGAAGATTATTTTGGGCTGTCGGTATGAAGAGAAAGAAATAATGCTTAATTCGAAACAGGAAATCGATAACGATAGAAATAAGACTTCATTGTCGATTGGTTTGGTATATTGGAATCTTATATTCTCTCTGGAAGAACCGCGGACGAATTCAAATATATAGTCATGTGCTGCCACCTGACGACAGGATCGGACAATACCTTATAATGGTTCGTACCAGCTGCTCGAAGTAGGATTCATTTTTCTACGCGACATCGTCTTAATAATGTCACTTTACTGACACGAAACAAACCCAAAAAGGCTACAATTATTCCTCACTTCGAAAATCAATCGATCTCTGTAACTGTCACTTCACGAGAAATTTTCGCGAAAATTATTTCCTTCGATAATAACAGTCACGAACATATGTTAAAATCAAGAACAAAATACGAAATAATAGCGTGACAATCGACGTCACGATTGATTTGCACGCCATCCTAACCTAACACTTCTCCAGCATCGAAAATCTCGTAACCGCTCTGTCGAATGTATCGCGAATAACGTGTACGAAAATTGAGACGCGATTGCATCATCCTGATCGAAAGATACGATTGCAAGCGCCACTTTCTACGTATCGATAAGTCAAAATCAAAGTGCATCATAATACCTGTCACGGTGGGTAAACGTTCGATCAATGTGTACGATACGTAGAATATTATGCAAACAAAGGTAATATCAATTGATAATACGTCACTTACCTCTGAGATGTGACAGACGAACCGGTGGATCTCACGAATGGAAAAACCTAGAGTTCTCACTTTGGCACAACACACGAACACTTTTCTCCCGCACTCATCCTACACGAGAACCGTTCTACGACCGAAAATGCAACGCGAAATGCAATGACGCGGAACACGTAAACACAGATTCGAACCGGTAAAGTCGAAAACGACGAGAGCGTTTTTGATGCCACAAAGTCGCGTGCGCCATGGCGGTGCAGAACAGCTGTTCACGGGAGGGAGGGTCGTTAGCAGGGTTAGAAGGGTTTCGGTAATGTGCTCAGCCATCTAGCGTCAGGCGTGAGAAACATTCGACTTACGGTCGACCCGGAAATCCTTTGAAGACAACGTTGGGACCTAGAATACCACACTTTATTGATCGTTAAAAGTTACTTTTCCACTAAATTTTTTAGTAAACAAGTTATTTTCTTAAAAATGTTATATAATTGACAGACATAAAGATTCAAAGTGCGCGTTAAATGCGATTCGTTTATTGATTTTTCATTCGATATTTATTTATCATTCGAGTAACCTCTCGGTGAAAATTTTGTTTCAAGAATAATTTAATTTCCCTAGCAACTCTAAGCATGGTATTCTAAGCAAAACTTATTCTATGAAGGTCGATACATCTGCCAAACATATCCTTGCATATTGTCACGCAATCAACGTAATTTGTTATGCGTAGAGCAATGTTCTAAATGCGCAGCAATAGACATATCTTTGCGTATTAGAATCTTTAAAAATGCAAATCGTTTTTTCATTGAGTAATTCAACTCATGCCATCTTAAATCGTAAAAAAGACTGATTACAATATAATTATACAGTCCGGAACATAGATAAAATAATATGCACAATTTTAACACTTAAAAAGAAATTAATAAATAAAATGTCCACCAAACGAACCAACGAGAATTTTATATAAATAATTTAACGTAATGAAATTCAAATGTCTCATCCGCGATTTGTTTTTTATGCACAATGCACTGTGCTGCATTCCATTCTGTTGCCTGTCTGATATTGTTACACATTACAATTAGGTCTACTGCGCGTCAATCTGAATTGCCCTCCTTTATTATTCGCGACTTTATTTTCTACTTCCGTCAATAATAGATCATCCGCATATATTTGATACTCTACCTTGATAAATCCGACAATTGTGTATATATTTGAAACACAAACGAATAATAATCTGTATAAAGGAAACACGAACGTTTTCAAATATGTATCCACATATTATTACCATTGCTTTGAAATTTACATCGATTATCTCACTATCGCGACGCATTTGAAATTTTGCTTGAAAGTACCGCGAGAGGTCGGGCCGCGGCTAGTGTTCGTACGTTACTGAATTTATACACTCTCATTCACTGCGTCGTATTTACTCACGCACACGTTCGCACACGTGCAGGCACACAGTCGCATACATTCACACGCACATGAATGCGCGACCTTGTGTGCGCAACAGGCGTCAGCAGCCGAGTAGAGTCTATAAAGATTGTACGATGAAGTGTACGAGTAGTGCCTCTACTTCGGTACGACTGGCCAGTTTTTGCGACAGTAACGTACCTACAACTTTAGGTACCCTACCCTACGCAAAATTTATGAAATTATTACCAATACAACCCGTAATTAATTAAAAACGATTCGAAATACGAATCATGAACTGAATATTACATTTCTATACGAAAATCAAACAAATACGATCGATACGATCTATACTTGGGATCGATTGATAAATTTATTTCTCGGTCACGTTTATATTCTATATTACACAGTATATACGATATTTCGTGGACACCAATTCGATTGATATAAATTTAAATATTCAAATTAAAGTCAATGAAAAAAACTATATCCATATCTACCTGCCACGTGAATATACCGTACTGTAAATAATAAACGTTTAGTATTAAACACGATAATAATAATTCCATTTTTGCCTATTCATAACGCT